ATAAAAGCCGTGACAATCGATAACTTGATCACCCAGCCTTAAGATGCCATCACCCAAACCGAATGCACTAATTGCATCTGTGATCAAAATCAATCCGTCTGGATTCGTCTTGTAGGCGATTCGAAGCGCTGAATCATGCGTATGTATGCCATCCGATATTATGCCGTAATATATCCGTTTCGATTCGGGTACATATTTTGAGGTTAGTATTCCGATTAGGCCCGGATCACGATGATGATACTGCAATCATTCGTAAAGTGTGTTTGATTTCGTGAAATATATAGACAGATTTAGGAGGACTAATTTGAAGACATCAGTTCATCTCACATAGTAACAATTAAACGAATAAAACTGAAATGAACCGAAGGCATCGCGTTGAAAAGATGTGTGAGACACGTTGCTCCAGCGTGAAAACCTCTTTCGGCATCAACCAGAGTACCACTCGAATGACCCATCGATATAACGACACCTTTACTTTTCAAGTATTCTATCCCTTCTCGTGCACCTTTCAGTTCTGGTGCTAATGTACACTGAGTTGTATCTTATCATTCAGTATTGTTGTACGAATATTCAAATAAGCTGTCGTCTTTAATTTAAACTTTAAAACAATAAGTATGATTACAGTTCATCATTAGATATATGTTTGAATATTGCATCCAAAACGACTTCTATAATAAATAAGTATACGTATATCAATAACAACGAGGTTAACTAACAATAGCGATATTCTCAGTAGATCCATACATATCAATCAGAGTTTGTGACGGATCATCACCTAAGTCACTTTTAACAAATTTTTCTGGATGAGCGCCCTTCTTGAGTACTGATATAAATGGACCTTCACAATGTGCTCCTGCAGAACATTAACAGGCAATAAGATTGAAAAACAATACCGTTATCACTGGTAATATGTAAAATAACTAAATATGATCTATCAAAACGTTGAACAGAACTAATTGTCTCTTCCTAAAAATGAACTGAGACTAGAATTTATCCTCAAATTCTGGTTTTCAACGGCATTTGTATATTATTACAGATTTTTTGTCAGCAACATTGAGTGCTAGCGGAATTCATTCACTTAATCAATCATTGCTTTGTTTTTTATTTAAGAGATATTCCTATTGTAAAATTGAAAACAAATTATATCTTGTAAATAATGACAATAATAATCGCAATGAATGTTAATTTGTTATTATGTAAAAATAGTTTAATACCACAATATATGAATGATTGCAAAAATGGACGGTAATAATGGTAATAGTAATAAAAATAATATCACAAAAAACAAAGCAAATTAATAAATAGATAACCGATTACGGCCGCACCATCGCTTTTAGCTTTTAATTCACCAAACAGTGGTAGTATCTGTAAATTGAAAGTTTGTATTCCCAATAATGATGCATAATGAAAAATACAACCGATGATGATTTGTGGAATATNTTATGTATCGAGAGTTTTCAGAAAATGACATTGTTATATTCGAATCTCATTGACAACTGAATCTTTTGAACTGCTGCGCAAAATTTTCATCGGTCACTTTGGGAGCATGAAAAGAGGTGGAGATTCGATTAATTCCACCCTGTAAATTGATATCTATTATTACACTTTTGGTTTGCTAATTACCTCTATTATCGATGAATGGAAGTAAGAATAAACTAAAAATGATTAACAGTAAAAATGACCTTATGATAAACATCAGGCGGAGATGTTATGATGGTGGGGCAGTAAGAAGTAACGCCGTATTGAAGCAGTCGATAGGATACAGAATTCACTTTATCAATAAATTCCTCAGGAGGCAACGAAGAAAAATCGATACCAAATGCACCTTGATTGAATGGTTTTCAATTTATCGTAATGACAATAACAGTAGCAATAAAAGTGATAATATCAATAGCAATGATAATGATTAGTATTTTCAATGTTAATTTATAGACTGAAATTAATTTTGGATGCATGAATATATTCAATAACAAAAAAAAGAATGACTCAAATGATATCAATAAGGGATTAACGATAAAGATCAAAAAACGTGCAGTGAAAAAAGTGTCATAGTGATAACAGGAACGACAAAAAGCTAAATAAGCGAAGTATGAAGTGAAGAAACTACCATTGAATTGCATATCAATCAAGCCAGGTATCACAATATAGCCCATACAATCAATTTTTATGTCCGCAATTCTCTTCTGATCATAGAAAACACTCGATTCATCCAGAATTATGCCGTTTTCAATAAAAACATCATTGTCGGTTAGTTCAGTACCATGCAATGAACGACAGTTTGTGAACTGTATTAATTTGTCACTCAAATCACCCCGTAAAATCGCAGAATCATATGATACTCGGATGCTCATTTTTATTTCTCTGCAATAATATTATTTAGCCATAACTCTAATTATTATATTCTGTAAGCGAATATATAGCAAAATTAAATTAACATAGAATTATCATGTACGAAGAATTAATATTCATTTAATTCAACATGGTAACAAATTGCGTGAGTCAAAGTAACAGAACTAAAAACGAGAATTAAACCGTG